TTTTAATTAAATTAATTTGGCAGCATTGCAGAGGTGAGACTTGGAGAAGAGTCTAGAATCATTAGGCTTATTGCGTTGACTCATGTCTGTGGTGCTGTGGGCCTGAACTCTGCCTGTTCATAATCCAGGTGGGAATTGAGAGGGCCCCATTCAGTTTAAAAAGGGACTAGCCACAAGAGTGAGGAGAATTTGAATGTTGGAAATTACTTCACAAAATGCTATCTTGTTCTTCAGCCAGTCCCTTCCCTATTAAATCATCTTGGATGTGTGTTATTGTTGTTGTTATTCTCAAGCTACTTACCATTTCTTTATCCCCTATAAATGATGGTCTCCGTAACCCCCTCCCCATCTGTATTTCATCATTTTTCCTTTTAATCTTAATCAAAAACGTGCTCAGCAGGTACTCTCTGATTGTTAATTGGAATGTCCACTGGTGAAGCTTGCACAGTGGCATTGCAATTGCTTCCCTGTATCTTTTTAATTTTTTCACCCCCTCGTTTGCCTCTGAAACAGAAAATGTCTGTTCAACTCCTTGATCTCAGCAATTAGCTAAGTGGTATGCAGCTGGTTATCTGGAGGCAGGCTCAAACACTGAATCATCTCTGTTCAGGTCTGAATGGGAAGTTTCTTGAGCAGTGACACCTATAATTAGTGTGCAGTTGCAAGAAAGGTTTTTGGGAGTGGCAGGTCTCAAAGTGGTGTTCCCAGAGAAGCAGCATCCCCATGATCTGGGAAATTGTGAGAAATGCAACATCTAAGGCCCCCACCCCCAAATCTACTAAATCAGAGACTGGGGATGGAGCCCAGCAAGATTTTAACAAGCCCTCCAACTGCATGCCAAAGTTTGAGAACGACTACCCTGGAGAAGTAGCTTCACAGGGTTCGGCAGCCAGACTCAGGAAGGTGGGAAAAGAGACTGCAGCAAACCGAGGGAAGTTTAGAGGCTGCGAAGAGGGGGTGATCCTTCCCTCTTGGAGATGAGGAAGGTGCCCAGAGGAAGCACTGCTAGCAGTGAGATTTTGTGCTTAGAGCTCCTGCCCTCTGAAAGAAAACCTGGGTAGCCCTCACTTGCCTGGTGCTCTGAAAAGACAAGTTCTTAAGTCAGTCTTCGGGAAGGTCTGTTGCATCTTCCTGCTCAAGAGTCTTTTTGAAAATTTGATTACTAAGTAGATGAGGAAAGAGAAACACTTCCTACTTTGGGTGAGTCTTATTTTCCTCTGTAGAGGCATCTAAATGCTGATGATATACTCACTTGATGGCCAAGAGGAAACAGGAGTTTGTATTTCAACCTCTACCCTACAACTGAACCTTTACTCCATAAGAATCATCTCTTTACTGAGGCTCTTTTGAAGGTGCCCAGTCATGGAGTCCTGGTCCAAATGCTAAATTTGCCTATGGTTTTAGTATCACACTTGTTTCATGGATTATGGGAGCCTAGAAATGAATAGTCTGTCACTTACCAAGTATCTTGTATCCTCTAATTATAAAGAGGATGTAAGTTAAGTTAGTTAACCCGTAGCAATTTAGGGTAAGTCAGTTTTTTACCACCGGAGGCAGAACTGTGTTATTTCAGTTCGTAAAACTCCGCCTTTTTTTTTCCTATGGCAACATATACTGTGTAAATCCTTCTGAGGTGGATATGCCTCATCAGACTGGAAATCTAAGTCTGTGTGTGATCCAGAGTCACTTTCCTTTGTAGTTTTTTTTTTTTTTCCTTTAAAGCATAATTTCTTTGTTAGCTTTTGAAGTTTCTGTGTATCTAGACAAGGAAACTCCTCCTACTTTACACAAGAAGGGAGAGTGTTTGTATTTCATTCTCCATCCTGTAATGTGCATTAATCATTAAGATAAAGTCTCTTTGGGAGGAAAATAAATCCTGGTTGATATGGCCAACTCTTTTGTTGTTGAATTATGTATTCTCTTTTTAAAGGATCAATGAATGTCTCCATGGGTTGTTTCCGTCTGAGGAATGAAATAATGGGGCTTTGGAAGCTCCACTCTGTGGTCTGTGATTGTGCGAGTCTGTGAACTATAGGCACTCAGAGGACTTATCTCAGAGGGGATCTGATAAACAGTTCTGTTGCCACTTGAAAAAAATCAGGCAGGACATTTCTGCTGGGGCTGTAGTGGCAAGCAGGAAATAGTTAAAAGGGATAGAAAGTACATTGCCCAATCACTCATCCTACCTGGGTCTTTTGTCCCAGAGTTTCCTGCTTCTCTGCCTGCCCCCTGCCCCCTCATATCATTGGGGTTTGCTCATATTACCTTCCAGCTTCAGTCAGAGGAAAAGCCACCTGTGCCAGCAGCATCATTTACTTCCTCTAGTATTTCAGCTCCAAGTTTAGTACTCAAGGAATGATAATGAAACATGATGAAATCAGTTCTAAATTGTTTGAAAGGATTAGAGAAAAGGTCTTGTATGGCTTCAACATGTTTCCTGTAAACCAGGGGTGTTGTTAAGGTGCGTTTTTCAACACCATGTCCTCTAGCTTCAAGCCCTTTCATTGTGGCCATTGAACATAAGCATTATGAGAAGAGATGACAGAAAGGACCAGGAAGGTAAGAAACAGTGGAGAAGTTGCTGCAGCCAATTCCTTATGCTCTTCTCAATACCTGTTTCCATTTATGTTGAATCCAAATGTCCTCCGTGGCATTCAGCTCACATCTCTCCCCAAGCTATTCCATTTTCTACCACAGCCTAGCAAATACTTTTCCAATTAGCTGTATTTCTAGGTTACCACCAAATTAACCACAGAGGCCATAGAATTAATAGGAGCTAGGGAACTCACGACGGCCCCAAATATGCCACCAGTAACTCCACCAATAACAACTGTGAGGGCAACAGTCAGGTTTTGGCCTTGGTGAAACAATAGTCAGTTTTCCGTGATAGTCTTGGGAACCAATACTTTTTTTCTCTCCCCTTGACTGCGTATACATCAATCTTGATGACTATGAGTTTATAATGCATAGCTACGTGAGTCCCCGCTGGCACAAGTGAGCACCTGAATACAGTAGTTACCTACAGATCTCCCCATCCTTGTTTGCTTATTCTCTCTCTCTCTCTCTCTCTCACACACACACACACACACACACACCATTTACTCTTTAGTAACGTATCCTGCCGGTGGCTTCCATAGCATAGAGATGCATTGTCTCTTCAACCCTGGAATCTATAGGATTTCTGGTCAACCCAGTTCATGCACATTTTTCACTGCAACTAGAGTAACTGGGAACTCTGACACCCATGGATTTTTGGGTCTTGTTTTTGAAACAAAACAAGCACCCCCATGGCCTGAGAATTGCAAAAGTGTCACCGATTCACTGTAGCCTGGATTTTCCTTTTTTCATCAAAATTAGTACCTGTGTAGGAGAGCAGGCCTAGAGCCATGGCAGGCTGTGATGTTTGGCTTCCTTGCTTGTGTCTCCTTTCAGCATTGAACTAACCAAATTCCATGCTGTCTTTCTACCCACTTCCCTATCTTAGTGAAAACCTGGCAATTGTCGTTTTTTGTTTTTTTGTTTGTTTGTTTTTTTTTTTTTTTAAAGAACTGTTTTTCAGTGTTGTTTTCTGTTCAGTCTGCCTAGTTTGTGACTGCAAATATAGGTTACTCTTAATGCTTGTCTGGAGATTTTTCCACGTGATTTGGGAGATGACATAGGGCATGTTTGACTTGTAGCAGAGATGAAGAATGGATAAATCCAGTGCATGGAACATGATCGGAGATTCCCACAGACTAACTCACCCTGCCTCTAAGTGGGCCCTGAGTTCCTCTACTGCACAGATTCCTGCCTGTTGAACAGCCAAGCGTTGTCCTTACAGAAGTGCAACTATACTAACTGGTATTGCACACAGTGATTTCCAAACTGGCACTGCTAGAAAATCCTTCATCTTCCATTTCTCAAGATGGCCCTCTCCTGGAGGGAGGAGGTCTATGTCGCTTCCCTTTAGGGAAAGTGTTTTGCTTCTGTTGGTATTCTGTCTCCTTTCCCTCACCTCACTTCACCTTCACGTTCCTGGCCTGGGTGTTACTATTTACCTACTGATCACAGAATACTATATGAATTTCCATTCACAACTTTGAGTGTTTAATGAGGCTTTCCTGCTTCCCACCCAGCCCAAACCTTGGGAGTTTCCACACACTGATCCTCTGATCAGTTTGACACAGGAAAGCACACAGGTCTTGTACCAGTTTGTATAGTAGTAGCCTTTTGAACTGGCGACTCTTGAAGTAGAGTGTGCTGGGGGTTCGCACTGGCTGCTCAACACACACACCAAGTCAATTAGCATGCATGCCAAAAAAAAAAAAAAAAAGAAAATTAACCCTTAGAGTACTGCTTCAACATTTTGGTTTAATGGTCTGAATTTGGCCGGTTGGACAATACTTCTTTCCCCAGATGTGAGTCCTGCACAGAAAGTCCGTGCTTAGTCTAGCCAGAACCTCACCCAGGATCCTCTCCTCTCTAGCTTTCTTGAGATGCTCCTGGGTCCTATATTTGTTAATCAACTAATGGTTTTTAAAAGGTCCAAAACACAACCACTGTGTTTAATTGAAAACGGGCCCCACTGCCAATGTGTTGGAGGGCATGAAGAACTGTGTTTTAGCTTTGGCATGTGTCCTCTCAAAGAAAGAAAGAAGTTCTTTAAGGGTTAATATGAAATTAAGGAATTTGGAGGCCTCTCCTGCTTGTCCTTCCTCCAAGGTATCTGCATGTTCCTCTTTAGATTCTTCGTTCAACTGCTGAATGATGATAAAAAATGATAGATATATAACAATTTCAAAAGCAACAAATAAATGAACAGTAGTTCCCAAACGGTTGAATGGAAAGACCCCTTGGCAATGCTTGCTTGATGATCCCAGGAGGCAGAAAGACCAAATGTTTTCTTTCATGAATATTCATTTCATCGTCTATCCTAAGCACTGCCACTTCTCAGCATCATGGGAGACTGGATGATACTACCTGTCATTTACCTCTTGCTTTTTCTTCTTCCTGTCTAATAGCCCAATAGAATCCTGCCAGAATTTCTACAAAGATTTCACATTACAGATCGACATGGCTTTCAACGTGTTCTTCCTTCTCTACTTTGGCTTGCGGGTAAGTTTGTGCAACATTACTCAGTATCACAATGGGGTGTTTCAGTCTGGGACCCAGGGATCATCCCCATTAGCGTCTGCTCTCACAGTCAAGATAAAACCCAGTGTTTCCAGGAGAGACAGCACACCTGCATTCTGCTTTTCAGTCTGGGAGAGAGCCCGCCCCTTAGCTAAGCATTTTCTGGAATTCACTTAAGTTTTGTTTCAAGGGGGAGAAATATGGATTGAGGAAAATTGATGATGTATCCACAGGTGGATTGTTTCTCATCTCTCTTCACACAATGCCATGTTCCCTTAAAAATTAAATAGAAATAGGCCGGATGTGGTGACTCACGCCTGTAATCCCAGCACTTTGGGAGACTGAGGCAGGTGGATCACCTGAGGTCAGGAGTTCGAGACCAGCCTGGCCAACATGGTGAAATCCTATCTCTACTAAAAATACAAAAGTTAGCCAGGCATGGTGGCGGGCATCTGTAATCCCAGCTACTCGGGAGGCTGAGACAGGAGAATTGCTTGAACCTGGGAGGCAGAGGTTGTACTAAGCCAGAGATCATGCCACTGTACTCCAGCCTGAGTGACAGAGTGAGACTCCATCTCAAAAAATAAAATAAAACAAAAGTAAATAGAAATAAACCTCTTCAGCTCTTAAAATTATGTTTAGCAGTGTTCACTTAGCTGAGCCCTGAGAGAGAAGTTGTGAGTATGAATGAAAGGAGGGTGAGGAGAGTAGATGGACAGAATTGTGTGTGTGTGTGTGTGTATGTGTGTGTGTGAATGTATACATATGTGCTTTATTTATAGTTATATTTACATGAATGAGTCTAATAAAAGTAAAATCACCCAATCTTCCCTATGAAGCTGTTGAAAACCACAGAAAAATACACTGCCTGATCTTTCCGTAAGACTAACATATCATATAGTTCATCTATTTAGGGCCCTATATGGGGCACTAGAAAACGTGTGTGCCCAACCATAAAAGCATGTGCTTTGTGTAGATATGAGAAGGACATAACCTCTCCCTCCAGACCTTAAAAACTAAATAGAAATAGGCCGGGTATGGTGGCTCATGCCTGTAATCCCAGCACTTTGGGAGGCTGAGCGGGGTGGATCCCTTGTGGTCAGGAGCTTGAGACCAGCCTGGCCAACATGGTGAAATCCCATCTTTACTAAAAATACAAAATTTAGCCGGGCATGGTGGCCCTATGGAAATTCAAAACTTACCCCTATGAAAACTCAAAACTTACCCTTTGACAAAAGAGTGTACATTGGATGCCGGCACCGTGCTTCTCATGTTTTTTCTCTTTCTTTTTTCTTCTTTCCTCCAGTTTATTGCAGCCAATGATAAGCTGTGGTTCTGGCTGGAAGTGAACTCTGTAGTGGATTTCTTCACGGTGCCTCCCGTGTTTGTGTCTGTGTACTTAAACAGAAGTTGGCTTGGTAAGTCAACCTCTCTTTCCTTCTCCTTCCTGGTTCCCGAGTCCTGGCTGAAGGACGGAATTTGCAGTGGACCAGGGGGCTGCCTCCCTACAAAGAACATTGTACGTATTAACGTGAACAGTGCTCTTGGAGTTTTAGAAGTTGATGGTGGCAGCTCTCTTTGGAGCACTAGCCCCGAAGGGTTTGCACAGTTCGTGCTTCAGGTAATGCAGTTTTATAATTGTCAAAGCCTAGAGGTCATCACTGTCACAGCCAGGGCCTTTATGTTCATGGTTCTGTCACTTTTCATTCAGGAACTTAGAGTCAGGACTGGATTAAGAAGCCCATGGTGGTAAAACCAGCTTTTCAAGTGGCTGGCTCAGGCACCCCAGAGGCCTGCCTGCCAAAGTTAGCTTCGGTCTGCTTCCAAAAAGTGGGTTCTTCATGGTCTATTTATAGGTACAAGGTTCTTTGGAGGGCAGGGAGAGATGAAGTTTCTTGAGTCATCTCTCACCTTACAGGAGACTGAGGTCCCTTTCTGGGCTAACGGGAGAGTGCTGCTATGCTGTACTGTACAGGGCACATCCTGGACCAGGACTAGAACCCTTTAGTGGGGAAAGTAACTTGACCAGAGAATAGTCCTGGAAGTCCAGGGCTTAGAAAGACAGCTTCAGGTTTCTCATTGCTGCGTTGATTTCATTTTTTCCCTGAATTCAGAGTATTCCTGCTGTCCTGGGGTCTACTAGGGAAGAAGGGAGGCTGAAACAGAACCTGGAGGACTCTCTTTGTGGGTTCCTTCTGTCCTTATTTTTTAGGAATTTTGGCTTAAGTTAATTATTTAAAAAGCAACACGCATACGTTGTAATCAGTGAAAACAAAGATGTGTGAAGAACACATTCATCATCTTTCCCCCTTGCATCCATCACTGCCTCCTCCTTTAAACACCCAGGGTTCCCAGGCCTTCACATGTGAAGTGTTTTAGAGATGGTGGTGTTTGTATGAGAAATTGTATCAAATAATTGCATTGCACCACAATTTGGCTTCCTCACTAATCGTGATGGACATCCCTTCAGCTCTGTGATCACTCATTTTATAACAGTTGTATAAGACTCCATAATTTGTTTGTATCACAGTATATTCAGCCATAACCCTAATGATAGACCACCTGAATGTTTTTCTTTTCCTCCTATTGCTGCTAGAAACGATAGTTTAATAAACACCGTTATTCATATATTTGTATAATTCTATTTCTGTCAATAGTTCCAGGTTCCTGGAAGAGGAATTGCTGGTTCAAAGAATATGTGTATTTTCTTTCGTGCAGACATTGATGGATAACTTAAAAAAATGTTGTGTCAAGATAGGCTTGCACTAGCAATCCATTTTGTTGCCATTGTTAGCACTGTTAATTTATTATATACCTAGTGTCAAGTATTTTTTAAAAATAAGCATCTTCTTAATATAGTATGTGTGGTACTCTGTATTATATGCACATACATATGTGTGCATGCATACACGTATGTATGTGTCCCTATCCTAAAAAGATTTCTTTTGCTACTAGTTTTCTTATTAGAATTATATTCTCTTGCTCTAAGGAAAAGTTTTCGTTTTGGACCTGAGATATGCTTGGTTAGACTGGATTTTTTGCTTATCGTATCCCAATTCCTTCTTATTTTCTCCTTATCCTGATGAGGCTAGTAGAGTCACACACAAATCTGAGAAGTGTCCTCAGTGTAACTTACGTGTTCCTGGGTGTCAGCGGTCCCAGCTGCTGTAGCTTCACTGTTAACTGGCTTTGTGACCTGGGAGCTCACTTTTCTTAGCCCATTGTTTTTCATCTGTGAGATAAAGATTTCGCTAGATGATCTTGAAGAATCTTTTAGCTCAGGAAGTCTTTAAGGCTCTTGAGTCATTAATGGGAAATGTAGGATCTAGGTCATTGGGGTGGACAGGGAAGCTAGTAGAATTCTATCAGCAGCATCCCTGAGTCAAAATTATGGATGAGCTGTTAACAGGGAGTCCTTTTAAAACATCTTGTTGCTAAGAGTTCAAACACACACCCATGCACACACAGGGAAATCGACGGGGAAGGGGACAGGTGGGATCCGCCTTCTTCACCTGGCTGTGCTTAATTACTGTGTGCATTCAAACAACCACTTTGCTTTTCTGGATCCTCAGTTTTCCTATCTGAAGAATGGGGGTTTAAATGAAATTACCTTCTAGTCCTCATACTTCCTGAATCTGCACTTTCTGCCAGTGTCCATTCTCTCTTGGTCCCCTGTGGGCCTGGATGAAGGAAGGGCTCCCTGGTGACTGTGGTGGAGACATCCTCCTCTGCAGTGAGCAGAACATGCCCCCACTAAAGGTGTGGAGCTGAGCCTCCTTGTGGTGAGTGACACGTTCTCTGAAGCATTTTAGCGCCAGGAGTTCTGGTATGCTTTGAAATCCACAGCCTTCTTGTGGATGATTTAATTCTGATTTTTGGAGATATGTTCTGATCTCATAAAAAATCTATTGGCACAAACACAGAATGGGGGCAAAAAATAATTGAATAGGAAATAAAAGAGGTTGAAATGAATTCTAATGAGATACATCTTTGCATCAACTGTGGTCACTTTCCAAAAGAAATGTGCTCTAAATGTGCTCGCTTCCGTTTGTATATTAATATTTATTGAGCATCTACTATATGTCAGGTACTGTCCCAGATGATTGAGAAACAACAGTGTAGAAATAGAGTCCCTTCCCCCTACCCTCCTATACTGCAGTGTGGGGAAAGCAGGAAACACTGAACCTAATAAGGAAGTAAATGACACGTATGATTAGGAAGCATCAGTGCTGTTGAAATTGAACCCATAGAACAATAACCTTTTGGTCTATGAAATAATAATAACAAAAATAAAAAATAATGTCTCTCCTCTTGTAGGAGAAAGCACCTGTAATGAAATGCTTTGGGTTCTTTGGTAACGAAATCTCCTTGGGTGAGATCTAAAACTTATCTCCCTGTTATGGAAGAGGATTCAGGATAATAATGTTTCAAGGAGGTTCTCATCTGACTTAATACATGGGTTATTACATTGTGAAACAATTATTGTACTGATGAGCTGCCAGAGAGAAAATGAACATTCCCATGAGATATGACTTATAAAGGAGAAGAAATAATCCCATTAAATAGGGGCATTTCAGGCTTGGCTGCCCTTCTCCTGGAAAGTGGAAGGGTGCTGCCTTTTCTGGCTGAGGTTTGGGATAAGGTGCAGGAAACCAAAGTCTATGCCAATTCTCCTGCACAGACTTTCCCAGCCCTGCTGAGGGTAGGACTGTGCAGTAGCTGGCTCTGTGGGAGATAAAAACCAGAGTGAATGCAGGGCCCCTGCCCGTACCTTTCCCAGAACACTGTCCGCACCATGTTTAGTTTTCAATTGTTGGCATATGATTGTGTGTTGTATAGTACAGAATACATTCATTGCACAGATCATCCTAGCGCATGTAACGGTGTATTCATAGAGATACTAATATGTAGTCAGCTTCTACTGTGTGATGGGCACTCTGGAAAGCCCCTCACCTACATGGACTCAATCCTCAGAGCAAACCTATGAGGCAGGACTTGTCATTGCCCCATTTACAGATGAAGAAACTGAGGCTCAGAGAGATATCTCGTCCAAGGTCACATCTCCTGGGAGTGGTGGGAGGGGTGCATTCCCCAAGATGTGGTCTGACTTTATGTCCACACTCTTCCTCTGCTCCTCTTTCTGTGTCCTTACCCTTGAATGATTTGCGGTTGGGAGCCCTGGCTTGGGAATGACGGGGCTGGTTTTGCTGCGTCGTGTTGGCATCCCTCCATTGGTGCTTACTCATAAAGGGCTTCACTCCAGGCAGGAAGAGAGGGGAGAGATCTTATTTAAGACTCCGTGTTCTCCTGGCTCCTCTTTCCCCTCCTCCTTGCCCACCTCCAGTTTCTAGAAATGCCAGGAGGACTAGAAGAACGCAGATCTAGCCTGGTATCTCCCGAGTCCTAGTGCCCCTCAGCAGCTTGGAGATCCGACCTGCTCCATCTGGGACAGAGACACTGGAGCTTAAGCACATCCCCAGATGTTAGCGCAGAGTAGATTAAAGCTCATCTCTGAGCTCCACCAACTCAGTCTACATTTTGACTCACCCATTTGCTGATGGGACACTTAGCATGAGCATTTTATCTTCCTCAGGCTCAGTTGTCTCACCTGTACAATGGGGTTAATTATAGCACCCACCTCACAGGGATTCACTGAGGTAATGTGAGTAGAACAACACGTACTTCATATGAGCTTACTGAACAGAAGCCGGGATTACCTCGGCCTCTCTTTCTAATCTACCTATCATATTTTAAAGCACCACAAGAGAAAACAAACCAGAACAGAATAAAAAATAAGGCAGCGGATGTGAGGATACTCATGTCGACAAGCAGCAAGATACTGCTTATTTTAATTCCTGTTCCCACCCACCAACTTATTCATTTTGTTTCCCTTACAAATCCCGACCTCACTAAAATAAATGCACCTTGAAATGAGAGCTGTATCTTATTTTGAGATTTGAATAACATGCTCCAAGGAGAACTCATTTGTCCGTCTGTCTCATTCTCTTTTGGGAATGTATCCCCAAGGTAGGTCGATGAACTGTGCTGCCTCTGTTTGTGTGTTTGTTTTTTTCTTTTTGTTTTTGATTTTATTTTATGGAGTTTGGCTCTTGTTGCCCAGGCTGGAGTGCAGTGGTGCGATAATGGCTCGCTGCAACCTCCGCCTCCCGGATTCAAGCAATTCTCCTGCCTCAGCCTCCCCGATAGCTCAGATTACAGGCACTCGCCACCACGCCGAGCTAATTTTTGTATTTTTAGTAGAGACGAGGTTGCCATGTTGGCCAGGCTGGTCTCAAACTCCTGACCTCAGGTGATCTACCCGCCTTTCAGCCCCCAAAGTGCTGCGATTACAGGTGTGAGCCTGCACCTTGCCTGTGGTTATGTTTTTGTTGAGGGTGATCTTGTGGATTAAGAAGGG